AGGTTAGTTGCGTGTTGGTAAGCACCCTGGGGAGCGCCCTGGGGAGCGCCCTGGGGAGCACCCTGGGGAGCACCCTGGGGAGCACCCTGGGGAGCGCCCTGGGGAGCGCCCTGGGGAGCACCCTGAGGAGCACCCTGGGGAGCACCCTGGGGAGCGCCCTGGGGAGCACCCTGGGGAGCACCCTGGGGAGCACCCTGAGGAGCACCCTGGGGAGCACCCTGGGGAGCACCCTGGGGAGCACCCTGGGGAGCACCCTGGGGAGCACCCTGGGGAGGTGACGTGAGGTAATCACGGATACAAGATGCAAAACAGCCATGGGGGGGGGGTAGTTGAACGATAGCTCTAGGTAAATACGATCAGAGGGAGCGTTCTTGCTGGGCGTTCCCTCTGAACGTATTTACTTGGACCTCTTCTTCTTTTCAACATTGCAAGCTTCTGATGATGTGTTGATTGCAACACGAAAGGCCTTGAGCTATCATTCAATTCTCCCCGTGATTGTTTTACACACATACACACACGTGTGTGTATGTGTGTATGTGTACATATACATAATTTCACATTCTGTTATCTTTTTCCTTTTCACGAAGATAACAGTAATTATAAGTTTCCTGTTATCAATATCTAGAAACATTTGTTATCTTAAGAAACTGTGGTGTATACACATGTTTATACACATGTTTATACACATGTTTACAAAATTTGTATAATAGGTATGTACATTGTGTATACATCAGTACAATATTTAATCTTCCGTGGTCATACAGCACCTGGGAATGGGAGCTAATGAGCTATGATCCGAGGAAGAGGAGGGTATGCCTAATGCCCTGGATCAAGAGCCCCTCAGAGGCATCAGTCAGGGGACAGCTGTGAGGCACAGGTGCTCGTCGCATCAACCTGCTGTAAACACTTTCAGCGGAGTGTAAAAACTGTGCTGGCAGGTGTTGATGTGATGGTGGTAGTGGTGGTAGTGGTGGTAGTGATGGTAGTGGTGGTAGTGATGGTAGTGGTGGTAGTGGTGGTAGTGATGGTGGTAGTGGTGGTAGTGGTGGTAGTGGTGGTAGTGGTGGTAGTGATGGTAGTGGTGGTAGTGGTGGTAGTGGTGGTAGTGGTGGTAGTGGTAGTGGTGGTAGTGGTGGTAGTGGTGGTAGTGGTGGTAGTGGTGGTAGTGATGGTAGTGGTGGTAGTGGTGGTAGTGGTGGTAGTGATGGTAGTGGTGGTAGTGGTGGTAGTGGTGGTAGTGGTGGTAGTGATGGTAGTGGTGGTAGTGGTGGTAGTGGTTGTGGTGAAGGTGGTAGTGGTGGTAGTGGTTGTGGTGAAGGTGGTAGTGGTGGTAGTGGTTGTGGTGAAGGTGGTAGTGGTGGTAGTGGTGGTAGTGATGGTAGTGGTCGTAGTGGTGGTAGTGGTGGTAGTGGTTGTGGTGAAGGTGGTAGTGGTGGTAGTGGTTGTGGTGAGGGTGGTAGTGGTTGTATTTGTGGTGAGGGTAGTAGTGATGGTAGTGGTTGTGGTGAGGGTGGTAGTGGTTGTGCTTGGGGGTGAGGGTAGTAGTGGCGGCAGTAGTTGTGGTGAGGGTGGTAGTGGTTGTATTTGTGGTGAGGGTAGTAGTGATGGTAGTGGTTGGGGTGAGGGTGGTAGTGGTTGTACTTGTGGTGAGGGTAGTAGTGGCGGCAGTAGTTGTGGTGAGGGTGGTAGTGGTTGTGTTTGTGGTGAGGGTAGTAGTGGTGGTAGTGGTTGTGGTGAGGGTGGTAGTGGTTGTACTTGTGGTGAGGGTAGTAGTGGCGGCAGTAGTTGTGGTGAGGGTGGTAGTGGTTGTGCTTGTGGTGAGGGTAGTAGTGGTGGTAGTGGTTGTGGTGAAGTGGTGGTGGTTGTGGTGAGGGTAGTAGTGTTGTGGTGAGGGTGGTAGTGGTTGTGGTGAGGATGATAGTGGTTGTGTTTGTGGTGAGGGTAGTAGTGGTTGTGGTGAGGATGATAGTGGTTGTGTTTGTGGTGAGGGTAGTAGTGGTGGTAGTGGTTGTGGTGAGGGTGGTAGTGGTTGTGTTTGTGGTGAGGGTAGTAGTGGTGGTAGTGGTTGTGGTGAAGGTGGTGGTGGTTGTGTTTGTGGTGAGGGTAGTAGTGGTGGTAGTGGTTGTGGTGAGGGTGGTAGTGGTTGTGTTTGTGGTGGGGGTAGTAGTGGTGGTAGTGGTTGTGGTGAAGGTGGTGGTGGTTGTGGTGAGGGTGGTAGTGGTTGTGTTTGTGGTGAGGGTAGTAGTGGTGATAGTGGTTGTGGTGAGGGTAGTAGTGGTGGTAGTGGTTGTGGTGAGGGTGATAGTGATTGTGTTTGTGGTGAGGGTAGTAGTGGTGGTAGTGGTTGTGGTGGGGGTGATAGTGATTGTGTTTGTGGTGAGGGTAGTAGTGGTGGTAGTGGTTGTGGTGAGGGTGGTAGTGGTTGTGGTGAGGGCGATAGTGGTTGTGGTGATGGTGGTAGCGGTTGTGTTTGTGGTGAGGGTAGTAGTGGTGGTAGTGGTTGTGGTGAGGGTGATAGTGGTTGTGGTGACGCTCTGGGACATGAAAGGAAAGTAAGCCTCAACAGTCTCCAGTTACAACACCTTTAAAAGCCGAGGGACTGATTACCCTATTACCGGCGAACCTCAGACAGACAAATTACTCCCATGATCATAACCATGATTTTTAAAGAGATGGATCGGTAAGCCAGCGGAAGGCCTCGGTCAGATGACCATAAGCTCCAGCTGTGGGTCATCATATGACTAAGACCCACATCAGGAAACACTTGTCGTGTTTCCTGACAAACATTATACCTATCTACCAAATCCTCCGGTTAATAAACCTCTGTGTTGATCAGAAGAAAGGTCAGTGGTTGGCGACAGGTCTTCAAAATAAAGTTACTCAGGTGTGGCACACGTGTCTTCCTCGTCTACGACTCAACACGTGTCAAATCTCCAGTCTCTAATGACCGTGTTCTTGCGAGAGATCTCAACTTCTCTAGCTGGGATCCAGACTACGTTTAATTCTTGCATATTTTTCTAATCTGCGTAAGGGCGCTGATGAACCCTCCTCAGGGCCTCCGTGGCACTGATGAACTTTAGACAAATTGATTGGAACAATATGACAGGAAATCTTGAGTCTAGTGACTTTCTTGATACGGTTCAGGATTGCTTTTTAGAACAGGTTGTGACAGAACCAACTAGAGGAAACAGTCTGCTTGACTTGGCTCTTGCCAACAAAGATTCACTAATTAATAATCTTGAGGTTAATGATGAGCTTAGGGAAAGTGATTACAAATCACTTAGTTTTAATATATCATGGAATTACCCAGATAACTGCAATCAAATCTCTGTCCCAGATTTTCGCTTGGCCGACTTCATGGGGCTGAAAAATTACCTGGGTGGGCTAAATTGGGATGTCCTGACTATGGGTCAGGTAGGTGATCTTGGTTGCTAATATGACGTTTTTCAGAGCATAGTTCTAGCTGCCCAGACAACTTTTGTTCCGAGTAGGGAAATTAGATCTAACAAAAATGATCCCAAATGGATGAACAATAGATTAAAACATCTCATTGGTCAAAAGAAAGGCATACATAGGCGTATCAAAAGAGGGGATGGGCAGTTAAGAAATAAGTATATTCAGTTGAAGAGAGAAATAAAGAAAGGAATAAGAAAATCAAAAAGGGATGATGAGGCTAAGGTCGCAAGGGATTCAAAGATTAACCCTAAAAAATTCTTTCAGGTATACAGAAGTAAGATTAGGGACAAGATTGGCCCACTTAAGAGTAACTCTGGTCAGATCACTGACAGTGATAAGGATATGTGTGAAATTCTAAATACTTACTTCCTCTCAGTTTTCACCCAGGAAAATACTAGGGATATTCCTGAAATAATAGATTATGTAGAACAGGATGATAATAAACTATGTAAGATTGCGGTAACTAGTGACATGGTCCTCAGACAAATAGAGAAACTAAAACCTAACAAATCACCAGGCCCTGATGAACTGTTTGCAAGGGTGTTAAAGGAATGTAAAGAGGAACTTAGCATACCTTTGGCTAATTTTTTTAACATATCACTACAAACTGGCAAAGTGCCTGATAAGTGGAAAATGGCAAATGTAATACCTATTTACAAGGCAGGTGACAGGTCCTTGGCTTCGAACTATAGACCAATAAGCCTTACCTCCATAGTGGGAAAATTTATGGAATCAATAATTGCCGAAGCAATTCGTAGCCATCTTGACAGGCACAGATTGATTAATGAATCTCAACACGGTTTTACAAAGGGGCGTTCCTGTCTTACGAATTTACTAACTTTTTTTCACTAAGGTGTTTGAGGAGGTAGATCATGGTAATGAATATGATATTGTGTATATGGACTTCAGTAAGGCCTTCGATAGAGTTCCACACCAGAGGCTATTGAGGAAACCTAAGGCACACGGAATAGGAGGAGAAATTTTTTCCTGGGTAGAGGCATGGCTGACAAATAAACAGCAGAGAGTTTGCAAAAATGGGGAGAAATCAGAATGGGGGCACGTCACAAGCGGTGTTCCTCAGGGGTCAGTGTTGGGTCCGTTGTTGTTCACAATTTACATAAACGACATAGATGAGGGAATAAATAGCGACATAAGCAAATTTGCTGATGACACCAAAATAGGCCGCCCAATTCATTCTAATGAGGACACTAGAGCACTCCAGGATGATTTGAATAGACTGATGCAATGGTCGGAGAAGTGGCAGATGCAGTTTAATACTGACAAGTGCCAAGTTGAAGATTGAGACACTTATGCACCATATGGGAATCTTTATTTAGGAAACGTTTCGCCACACAGTGGCTTCATCAGTCCAATACAAAGCAGAGAGGTGCAAGAAGAGGAGGAGATTGAGGTAATCAGTCCCTCAGCCTGGAGTCGATGTGTTCAGTCCATCAATCTTGTAGAAGATTGATGGACTGAACACAAGATGGATGGACTACAAGATTGATGGACTGAACACATCGACTCCAGGCTGAGGGACTGATTACCTCAATCTCCTCCTCTTCTTGCACCTCTCTGCTTTGTATTGGACTGATGAAGCCACTGTGTGGCGAAACGTTTCCTAAATAAAGATTCCCATATGGTGCATAAGTGTCTCAATCTTCAACTTGTCGATTTTCAAAACCATTCATCGCAGAATGAATATAAATACTCTGGAAAACGTACAAAGGAGGATGACAAAGATGATCCCATGTATCAGAAATCTTCACTATGAGGATAGACTGAAGGCCCTGAATCTGCACTCTCTCGAAAGGCGTAGAATTAGGGGGGATATGATCGAGGTGTATAAATGGAAAACAGGAATAAATAAAGGAGATGTAAATAGCGTGCTAAAAATTTCCAGCCAAGACAGGACTCGCAGCAATGGTTTCAAGTTGTAAAAATTCAGATTCAGAAAGGATATAGGAAAACACTGGTTTGGTAATAGAGTTGTGGATGAGTGGAACAAACTCCCGAGTACAGTTATTGAGGCTAAAACGTTGTGTATTTTTAAAAATAGGTTAGATAAATACATTAGTGGGTGTGGGTGGGTGTGAGTTGGACCTGACTAGCTTGTGCTGCTGGGTCTGGTGCAGTACTCCATCCTTGAGTGGAGATGATCGGACTGGGTGGGTCATTGGGCTAATCCGGGGGGGGGGTCATTGGTCTAATCCGGGGGGGGGGACATGGACCTGCTCCGCATGGGTCAGTAGGCCTGTTGCAGTGTTCCTTCTTTCTTATGTTCTTATGTCCCCGTGGCACTGATGAACCCTCCAAGTGGATACCAAGAACCTTTGACATAATTCTTGTTTCAGGAGAATGTCTTGACGTTTCACAACTCTCTTAATATCGTTGTTAGTAAATGAGACAGCAATTCCACTCATTCCCGTGATGCATCAATCACTCTCACAGAGAATAATTCTCTGGGTAGCTACGATGCACCACACAGACATTTTTAATTTCAATTTTAATAATTCATGTTAAGCGCTAAACCCACGTGGATCATTCAGTGCAAGGCGTGGTGGAGGCTTGATACTCCGTCTGCTGAGTGCAGGACATACACGCTTTCTATCTGCACTCACCTGTGTGTTTACATAGGTATTATGTCTCACGTGTAAAGCTTCCGCGGACACAGCTGGACTGCGCGACTACACAGTCGCAGAAATTTTCCACCTACACCTTTGTACTGAAGAACCAGAAAGTCACAATACCGTAGCTGGAACAATTCAGCTTAAACCTGCATCACTTAGGAAAGGAACCTGAGAACAACGTTTCTCTCCCTCCTGGATCGTTGTCCACGACTGACGGCCTTTTAGTGAACCTCTGTAATTTGTATACAACTTATTCGGTGCATTAAAATTCTGTAATATGACTCTTGTATACTGAATTTATGTAATATACTTAAACCCCGCGACCTGAATATTAAGTTAAAACATCATTTTAAAGTATTTTGTGCTCAGTGTTATGGTGCTTAAGGCTTCTTGTCTGACCTAACAACAATATGGATTAAAAAAATTAACCACCTCAAAATTTCAACGAAAATAAAAAAATAAATTTTTACAAGATATGTATTTAATTGTAACTCCTTGCTTATACTAATTTTACCAGCTATAAAAGTCAATTTTCACTCATAAGTGAACAGGTTGACTGGAGAAAGCTGAACCATAATTTTTAAAGGGGGTGTGTGTGTGGGGGGGGGGTGGACCGGTATGTCAGCGGAATTCCTCGGTCAGATGACCAAAAGCTTCAGCTGTGGGTCATGACTAAGGCCCTCGTAAGGAAATACTTATCCTCTTGACAAACCTTGCCTTATCTAACCTGGAGAAAGCTGAGGTATGTGTCTCACAGGGGCCGGAGTGTTCCAATATACTCTCCATATACTGTAACTCACACCTCAGACTGAGCATTATACCTGTATCTTTATATACATACACAAAAGCATGCATATATAGCAAGTGTTACAATCTATATAATGCAAGATATAAGGCATATTTAAGTTTAATATTTTGAAAGGAAAATGGGTATTTCGTAACATACTTCATTTTGTAAACAAACAGCCGTCCATACACACTGGATAACTCTCTGATATTATTACATAACAGATCATAGTATTCTTATGGAAATAATTCAAAGATGTATGCAAGAACTGACCTCGGAGACGCTGACATACATCACACCTGTGTAGAAAATAACCACAGAATAGTTTAAACTAGTAATAATAACAGCAGCAGGAGCAGCCGCAGCAACAGCAGAAGCAGCATCAACAGTGTTATATTGTCCAGTGAGCAGAAAATACCTAGGATTCAATTAAATATTATCCCATATATGTATTTAGTGTTCAGACATAGACAATATATGCACTGTGAGCAACCTTCAGCTACTTTGTATGACTGAATATCTCTCCTCAGTAGTAGTAGAAGCAGCAGCAACAACAACAACAACAACAATAGCAGTAGCACACAGTAGTAACAGGATTACAGGTAGTGGCTTCAGTTGTAGTATTTGGTAGTAACATTACTAGTAACTGTAGTAGTAGCAGCAGTAATAATCAACAGCAGAAATACCAGCCGGTACAGATATTAAGATAATAAATGGAAATATACGAGTGATGATATATAGGAAACAATTCCCATGTTAAGATTTTCTTTGGATTTTAAACCCTGAGAGTCAGCCACCCAGGATAACCCAGTAATGTCAGTGGGTCATCGAGGACTGTCTGTCTTATTTCTATTATGGTCCTTTAATCTTAACTCCCAGGATGCCACCCACATTAGTCGGCTAACACCCAAGTACCTACTTACTGCTAGGTGACCAGGGACAGTAGGTGTAAGGAAACATGCCCAACGTTTCCACCTGTGCCGGGAACTGAACCATGGCCACTCAGTATGTGAGAGGAGTACGCTGACAGTGCTCTGATGAAAAGAGTGCCCACGACCCGTTCTAATGAACAATTTTCTACTAAACTTGTCGGGATGTACAAGTCCTTAAAAGTCTATCATTAAAATATTAAATGAATTTCTAGGAGATTGTACTAAAATCAGATCACGAGAGAAAACGTTAAAATTAAGGGGGTACTATAGAGAGCTCTTCTGATCCATTGTTACTGTCGAACCCAGCAAGGTAATGGTGTTGAAGATCTGGAGTTGCTTCTTCTCTGTCTTCTTTCTGTCCTTGGCCTCCATTTCAACCTCGTTCTGCTTCCTGTAGGCCTCGTTACGGCGCTCCATGCAGATCTCTACGTCCTCATTGGCCAGAAGACTCACGACATTCAGGTCTTCAAGAATGTAGTGGTCAGGTCCCAGGGCAATTTTAAGCTGAGGCTCAGCTTCCTCCAGCAGACGAAGACCTTCTCGGAACTCCTTGAAGTATATCTTGGCCTTACCCAGCTTGAAGAGGAACAGGCAGAAGGTGGGATGGTCGGAGCCATAGCAGTACCTGTTGGGATGATAATGAGTGAGTATTGGGTTATCCTAGTTTAACCATAGTAAGATACTCACGGATGTGGGTGCTGAAATAGATGTGTGATAACCCTCACATTCATTTCAATGGTTGTTACTTTTCGTTCATCAAAATCAACATTAAATTCTGATTAGAACTATTATATATTAATCATTGTTCTCACTGGGTACCTGGGTATAACTAATGAAGACTATTTCTAAAGGTATACCTCTCTTGGGTTAAGCTACATAATGTACTTTTTATATTCATAACATATGTAAGGGTATTATAAACAATATATATTGTGCACCAAATACCTAAATAAAACTTAAGCAATAACTCTTGAAAGATTGGTCGAGAGGATTCCACTGAGAATGGTAGCATATCTACTTAGAATTTTCACCACAAATGAGGGGCTCTTGATCCAAGAACTGGACTTCTCCTCCCTCTTCTTGGATCGAACCTGAATGTCTCCCATTTCCCTTTGCGGACTTGGAACATCAGTACGAATACAATAATCCCTTTCTGAAGTGTTTTTCACTCATTCTTCACCTCATCCCACTGAAGGTGACTCCTACTGCAGCTTTCCCAAGTCATTCCTCATATCATGCTGAAGATGGCCATCTCTTCAGAGTTTCCTCAAGTCAATCCCCATTTCAACCCGTTGAAACTGACTCCTCTATACAGCGTTGCTCCTCGTCGTTCCTCACCTCATCCCTTTGAGATTCTCCTCGCCGTAGGCCAGGGCGCGGCTCCAGAACCCGTTGAAGACAGCCACGTTGAAAGCAAAGTCCAGCGTTCGAAAATCTCCACACGTTGAAGGGATGGAAGATGCTGCCTTGCTTCTCTATCATTTCCAGACACTCCTCCACGTCTGACAACAGTGTTAAGGAACATTTGCAGTTCTGTATTCTCACCTTTCTCCGCAGGAATGACCCATATGAGTTTTACGCCTCACAAAATTGCAATAATTAATAATTTAAAAATAATAATAATAAAACAATAATGATAATAATAATAATAATAATAATAATAATAATAATAATAATAATAATAATAATAATAATAATAATAATAATATAGGCTCAAGGCTATTATGCAGGCTACTGCATTGTTATAAAATATATAAAGTGTATATAGTTTCAAAAGAGTGTAAATGCTTAAGTGGACGTGGATTGAGCAGGCAAACGGACCTGTTTTAGACACGGGTTCTGAGTGTACTGGAGAGAGAGAGAGGGAGGTACGTGACACAGTGACGAGAGGGTAGTTGTTGGAACGAGGTGTCATGGAGTTTGATTAGTGGTGTGTGGTATTTTGGGTAAGTTTTAGGCCATCAATTGTTTGAAGAAATATTTGTTTTGTAATCTTAAGTTGGCTGTAGCACTGGGCAAGGCACTGGTATGTATATGGGGCTGTGTGATTATTGGAAAGTGCACAAATAATTGCATTTTTACCGGCAGGCTGGAAGCTGGCAGGGAGATACGGCGATCTATAGGCGCTAGTAATATTTTATTCTTATGTGGCCTAATGATCCTTGTGGGTTTAGCACTTGGTTTTGATTGTAACAGTATTGCATATGGCCTAATTTTAAATAACTAGTACAGTAAACTAGTGATTTTTTTTGTCAGATGTGGTGAAGGCAGATTATGTATAAATAGTTACATACATTGTTGTGTATATAGTTATATAGACCTACATGTATATTTTACAAAGGCGAGTTTATCTGTCCTTCCTGATAATCAACCATATAGTATTGTTCAGCTGTTTAGCGCTTTTAGTGAAATTAACCTTTATGGTCCTCGGGTGTCGTATTTTTCTAATATTATATATGCCCCAAGACAAGGGTTTAATCCCCAGGTACCAGTTTAAATACATAACAAAGGCTAAATCACGTCAGGAATAAAATTTAAAAAACCGAGGCTGGAAACACTTCACAACTAACTCACAAACTGAAAACAGAAAGTGGAAGATGTTCGGTTCGTCCTGGACCATTCTGGACCATTACCATGTTGGGACAGGCTTAATAATTGCTCCGAGACGGACCGAAATGTCGTCCAATTTATCATTTCAAACTTGAGGGTCGGTTGAGGATGCTGAGTGCTACAGTGCTCATGACAGTGTTTGGAAAGCTCAGGAAAAAATGTGTAAGTGAAGGAATGTAAACATTTGGAAACAGTGAACGGGATTTGAGCCCAGGGTGTGTGGTGCAGTGGTTTGAGCGACGGTCTAGCGAGTTAGGACCGCTAGACCAACAGACTAAATCCTGGTCACTCCTTTAAATTCTGCAGAAAGTTTTAAAACCCACGAATACAAGAGAAAGAAAGGATTAAAAGTGAGATAGATAAAAAAAGGATACTGGGATCTTCCTCGCTCATAGATTTGAGTTTCTCCTTCGTGAAATCGACGGCATCTTGATATCTCCTGAGGGTGGCGCTGCTGACTGAACACCCACACTCGCTGCATACTGGCTCTTGCTGTCTCTCCTCGCTCAACTCTCCCTCCTGCTGGACTTCCCTGCTCGACACCTTCTGCTGGTCTCCTTCTGCCGGTGTGTTCCTCTGTTGGTCTCTCAGCATCCTCCACTGCCACTGTCTAGCAGTCGTCTCCTTCGTCGAAGTCTCCTGGTGTCCGTCTTTTGAAGCCGCTTGTGGCACCGCTGGTGCCTGGCCCTCACCCGTCTCAGGGATGTATATAGGTGCCCGGCACTCAGCATTCTCTACAGAGATCAATTAAATTTCATTAATTCAAAGAAAATAATAATAATAATAATTAATAATAATGATGATAATGTGTATCTTAAGTTATTCTAAGACAAGGGGACACTAAAATCGAAGGCCTATGGAATGTACAATACTTCAAGAAAGAGGAAGATGATTCGAACTCTTTCACGCTTTCTAAAATACATTGTTCATTCTTATATCTTTTCGGCCTTTTATTTGCCTTGGCTTGTACAAAAGTCGCTGTTTGTTTATACGCGCTTGTGTTAGGTTAGAATTCTTCTCTCCTCCCCACTCACGCACCCTCTGCCAGTACTTATCTCCTCCCCACTCACGCACCCTCTGCCAGTACTTATCTCCTCCCCACTCACGCACCCTCTGCCAGTACTTATCTCCTCCCCACTCACGCACCCTCTGCCAGTACTTATCTCCTCCCCACTCACGCACCCTCTGCCAGTACTTATCTCCTCCCCACTCACGCACCCTCTGCCAGTACTTATCTCCTCCCCACTCACGCACCCTCTGCCAGTTACTTATCTCCTCCCCACTCACGCACCCTCTGCCAGTACTTATCTCCTCCCCACTCACGCACCCTCTGCCCAGTACTTATCCCTCCCCACTCACGCACCCTCTGCCAGTACTTATCTCCTCCCCACTCACGCACCCTCTGCCAGTACTTATCTCCTCCCCACTCACGCACCCTCTGCCAGTACTTATCTCCTCCCCACTCACGCACCCTCTGCCAGTACTTATCTCCTCCCCACTCACGCCCCTCTGCAGTACTTATCTCCTCCCCACTCACGCACCCTCTGCCAGTACTTATCTCCTCCCCACTCACGCACCCTCTGCCAGTACTTATCTCCTCCCCACTCACGCACCTCTGCCAGTACTTATCTCCTCCCCACTCACGCACCCTCTGCCAGTACTTATCTCCTCCCCACTCACGCACCCTCTGCCAGTACTTATCTCCTCCCCACTCACGCACCCTCTGCCAGTACTTATCTCCTCCCCACTCACGCACCCTCTGCCAGTACTTATCTCCTCCCCACTCACGCACCCTCTGCCATGTACTTATCTCCTCCCCACTCACGCACCCTCTGCCAGTACTTATCTCCTCCCCACTCACGCACCCTCTGCCAGTACTTATCTCCTCCCCACTCACGCACCCTCTGCCAGTACTTATCTCCTCCCCACTCACGCACCCTCTGCCAGTACTTATCTCCTCCCCACTCACGCACCCTCTGCCAGTACTTATCTCCTCCCCACTCACGCACCCTCTGCCAGTACTTATCTCCTCCCACTCACGCACCCTCTGCCAGTACTTATCTCCTCCCCACTCACGCACCCTCTGCCAGTACTTATCTCCTCCCCACTCACGCACCCTCTGCCAGTACTTATCTCCTCCCCAATCACGCACCCTCTGCCAGTACTTATCTCCTCCCCAATCACGCACCCTCTGCCAGTACTTATCCTCTCCCCAACGAAGTAAGGTACTCATTCCCCTCACCTCCCACTACTCGCTTCCCATTCACTCCCCTAATACTAATTTCCTTCCCTTTCCCTAACATTCGCTGTCCCCAACCAACAGATTATTTTCACCCCCACCACGAGGCCAGTTTTCTTACTGCTTGTTTCCCCACCACACTAACCACCCCTCTTCCCTCACCACTTTCCAACCACACTAACTCCATCCTGGTTTTGACACTCACTACACATGATGAAGTTCTCCATACTGGTTCTCTACATTCATCACACATGATGGAGCTCTCCATCCTGGTTCTCTACACTCACCACACATGATGGAATTCTCCATCCTGGTTCTCTCCTGGTTCTCACAGAGGCTACATTCACACCAGAAGAACCACTTGTGGTAAAGGTTCTCCCGACGGCTCCTGACGCTGCTCACGGGATCCACGTAGCTGATCCTGCACTGTGAACAACAGTGAAGGGTGAGAAACGGTGAACTTGTTCAATTGTATTTTTATTCCATCTGTAAATTACAAGTTTACTATACAAAATAAATGCTTTACTGTTCTCAGTAAAGTTTGTTACAATAAAGCTCTAAGCAAGATCGCAACGTTGCCGCAGTAAAGCTTTACCAGGACCTATCAGACACACAGCTGTCAGACACACAGCTGTCAGACACACAGCTGTCAGACACACAGCTGTCAGACACACAGCTGTCAGACACACAGCTGTCAGACACATAGCTGTAAGACACATAGCTGTAAGACACATAGCTGTAAGACAAGTGTGCTGGCATATCAACGCCACTGAATTTGATTTAACATTAATAAATAATAATAATAATAATAATAATAATAATAATAATAATAATAATATAATATATAAAAATAATAATAATAATAATAATAATAATAATAATAATAATAATAATAATAACAATAATAATAATAATAATAATAATAATAATAATAATAATAATAATAATAATAATAATAATAGGTAGTAGGTTGGTAGACAGCAACCACCCAGGGAAATACTACCGTCCTGCCAGATGACTGTGAAACAGAAACCTGTAACTGTTTTGCATGATGGTAGGATTGCTGGTTTCTTTTTCTGTCTCATAAACACGCTAGATAACAGGGATATCTTGCTACTCCAACTTACACTTTGGTCACACTTCACAGACACGCACATGCATATATATATACATACATCTAGGTTTTTCTCCTTTTTCTAAATAGCTCTTGTTCTTCTTTATTTCTTCTATTGTCCATGGGGAAGTGGAAAAGAATCTTTCCTCCGTAAGCCATGCGTGTCGTATGAGGCGACTAAAAATGCAGGGAGCAATGGGCTAGTAACCCCTTCTCCTGTAGACATTTACTAAAAAAGAGAAGAAGAAAAACTTTATAAAACTGGGATGCTTAAATGTGCGTGGATGTAGTGCGGATGACAAGAAACAGATGATTGCTGATGTTATGAATGAAAAGAAGTTGGATGTCCTGGCCCTAAGCGAAACAAAGCTGAAGGGGGTAGGGGAGTTTCAGTGGGGGGAAATAAATGGGATTAAATCTGGAGTATCTGAGAGAGTTAGAGCAAAGGAAGGGGTAGCAGTAATGTTAAATGATCAGTTATGGAAGGAGAAAAGAGAATATGAATGTGTATATTCAAGAATTATGTGGATTAAAGTAAAGGTTGGATGCGAAAAGAGGGTCATAATAAGCTGGTATGCACCTGGAGAAGAGAGAATGTAGAGGGAGAGAGAGATTTTATTT